GCTCAGGAGTTTGAGACCAGCCTGGGCAACATGGTGAAACCCTGTCTCTTAAAAAAAAAAAAAAAAAAAAAAACTAACCAGGCATGGTGGCTCATACCTGTGGTCCCAGCTACTCAGGAGGCTGAGGTGGGAGGATCACTTGAGCCCAGGAGGTCCAGGTTGCAGTGAGCCTAGATTGCACCACTGCATTCCTGCCCGGGCAAAAGAGGTAGACCCCCGTCTCAAAAAAAGAATCGCAAAGCCCCCAGCTCTCTCTTGTGTCTCCTGCCTTTTCTCCAACATTGCTCTTCTCTATGCAAAACAGAACTGAAAGAAAGGAAAGGATCAAATGTGCCCTAGGTAAGGTAGGCAGTGCCCCTGCCAAGAAGTGGGCAGGATTATCACGCTGCTCTCCTAAGAACCTACTCACCTGGCTCTTCAGAACACATTGGGTCAAGCACACTGAAGAGAAAAAAAATAAGAGTCTGAAAATAGTGCTTAATTAGTGGGAGATGATTTCTCATGAATGTGCAGAAAGTTATTTTCCCCTCAGCATTCCCAAGCCATAGCCTGAATGTTTTGGATGTTTATCACAATTGGGACTTACCAACTTTATTCCTCCTGGAGCGAAACCTCATCACTGATAGTTTCGTATCTTCCCAGACACCTGTCAGCCTTGTTTTGCATTTGTTTCGAGAAGTGCCGAGAAAGCTATTTGTCACTTCCTTGTGGACTATTAGTATGTTTTCCTCCAGCCATTGCAACTAATTTATCATAAGCAGGTCATCTCCAGTGAGAATACTTAATTGTGCTGATGACTGAGCTGGTAACTCAGTGGAACAGAGCCAGACATCTCTCTCCAGTTCTTTCTATTCCCTTGCTGTTAACTAATGCTATTACCATTTCTGCATCTTCCTTGCTCCTTCCTGAGCCCTTTTGAAAAAAGTTCTCTACCACCTGAGATCTTCCTGCCCTTGTAGTCATCTTTTTCTCCTCATCATGGCTGATTTGGGAGCTCACCTTTGTCATCAGAGTTGGAAGCCAACCTTGGGTGCTTCCAAATGAGGCAGACATGACTCATTCTGAGTCCCTGGGACTCTCCTGGTTTTGGAAGCCCAAGAATACCAGCCCCAGACAAAACTTTTTCAGGGTCTCTGAAGTTAAGAGAGTGTAATGAAAGTTTCAGGACATGATAACCTGTGGACTGTTTTAATAGGAAGACCATCAAGAAAGCACGAGGTCAGGTGCGGTGGCTCATGCCTGTCATCCCAGCACTTGGGAGGCTAAGGCAGGTGGATCACCTGAGGTCGGGAGTTCGAGACCAGCCTGGCCAACATGGTGAAACCCCATCTCTACTAAAAATACAAAAATTAGCCCGGCATGGTGGCACAGGCCTGGGGCACAGAGCAAGACTCTGTCTCAAAAAGCAAGCTAACACTGCGTCTCCACAAGTAGAAGCCCACGCCACGCACCTGCTGTGTTTTCCATCACAGAGTGGTGATTGCCGTGTGCTGATTTGCAGCAGTTTCCCTGACCGGGCCTCCTGCTGACCAGTGTTAATGTATCAGTCGGGCAGTGAGCTCACCTGCCTGCCAATGGAACCCAGGCCACATGCTACGGGCACCTCTCACAGCTGGCAGAGTAGACAGGCCACCAGCAGCACCAAGGTGGGTCACACTGCAGAAGGGAAGCCACCTTGGGGTCCCAAGGCCTGTGTGCTAGTTGCTGGCAAGGATGAGATGGCGTCTTCCCGAACTGGACCTTAAGCTAGGGTTTGGAGATGAGCCAGGCCATCTCATGGGAGATTCATCTGATAAACACATGTTGAGCACTTGTGCGCAGGACACCTGCTCAGAGGTGGAGACAGAGAATGAGCCCCAGTTCCTGCCATGGGAAAGCTAGATATTTAGCTTTTGGCAAGAGTAAGGTCAATTTTGAGTAAGACGACCCTAGCGGGGAAAATGTAGCAAGAATGAGTTGCTTTTCTGTAGATTGTGAGTGGTCAGAGAGCTGAGAAAACAGGGCCGCTCCTGCAGTTATGGTTAATCCTTCTGAGAGTCTCCCGAAGGCAGTTGTAATTAGATATATTCTTTCTATTACTTAAATTGAAACAACTAATTGAATCATTAATTAATGTCTTTAAACTACCTTGGGATACAAAGTGCCAGAGACGTTATTCTAAGTGCTGAATATGACTATGAAGTCCCAGGCAGCAGTTTGCGCCTGTGTTGCCTCCAGAATACGCAAGAAGACTCATGCTGCGGGGAAAAGTTATTTCCAATGCAACTGGCAAAAAGTTCAAAGTATCTTCTTTGCCTTAGTTTTCCCCAAGGTTTCTTCCTTGGCCTATATTAAAACATTCATCCTGGATTTATTATCACCCTTGATCATGCCCTCAGTTTTTTAAGTTTTTTGGTGGGAAAGGCATCTTGAAGAGAGAAGTTGTTCCGTTCTGGACATCTGTAAAATATCTAGCTCATCCAATGCAGGCTACAAGCAATAATGAAACTTCCCTTTTGGGGGTGCATTTTTATCTTGAAAGACTTAGATGCTGTAAAAGAGCAGATAAAACTGCACTGGGGAGCAGCCAGGGCGACAGTAAGCGCTGCGATACATCCACCTGATGTCCATGGGCCAGGTCGCTGCTGCCCTTGAAGAAGGAACCAGGGCTAGGATGTCTTGGGGCAGGCCTTTCCCACTTCACAATATTTTTCTGTCCCCTTCTCCTCCTCACAGTGAATCGGGGGAAGGCATTTCTGACAGAGCACAGAAATGTAACAGCTGAAAGGATCGTACAAAGAAGTTGCATCGTTTAGAGATAGATTAAGGGGGAGGCCTTCTCTGAAATTCCTGGGAGGTCCTCAGAAGTTTGTTTGGAAGGTCTTGGTATTCTGAAAGAGTCAGAATTTTATTAGTCATTATCTGGCTGGGTAATATCTCTTAGATTCAAGCAGAGAGAGGATTTCACATCTGGGAAGTTTTTAAATGTCTCTCTTTTTTTCAATTATGCAGATGTTCACATCTGTAGACCCATCCCTTATGTGGAATTGTTTTCGTTCCCTTTGATAAGTTTCTTGGCTCATCTTACAAATTCATTTGCAATAGCCTAAGCCAACTTGTGACAGATGCAAGCTCTCCAGAGACCACTGCTTTTTATTTTGCCCACTTTATATTCATGTTTGGAAACATTAGTATTTATGTGAATGAATTCAGAGAATATGTTTGGTAAAATGAATTTATTCATGTTAGTGGAGAGAAGACCACATTATAGAATCTTTTAGAAACCTATAAATATATATATATATATATTTTAAAAAGTGATTGGAAAGCTAAAATCCAAAGAAAATCTTGCAGATTTCATTTTATGATGATTTAGCTTTCTGATGCTCGATATGTTCCTCGTTAACTTGGAGAACATCATGATATTTCAGTTCAGAATGTGCGGGATATAATTGTGAAAAACGCAGCACGGATTATCAGCCCTGGGGATCCTCAGCCTGGCTGCACGCTGGCGAACCTGCAGAGCCTTTGAGAAGGCTGGTGCCTGGGCTTTACCCCAGAGTTTCTGAATTAGCTGACCTGTTTAGGGCCCAGGCAGCGGTGCCCAGGGTCCCAAGGGAACCCCACGCGTGGCCAACTTTCAGAATTCCACGTACGTAGTAAATTGACTTTTCTCCTATTTAACAGGGTTCTTTATCCCACCTGGAAAACTCCATCTGAAAGTAGCTAACTTTTTCTCTGGCCTAGAAGGTCAGTTGGTTCTCCACAGTTGCCCTGAAGGCAGGGACCGAGTCACACCGAGAAGACTCTGCCGAGGCTACTGGAGGTGTGGGCTGTCGTCATGATGGGCGCCCATGGGTGTGGGCCCCGAACCATCCCCCCTCTGCCCTGTTAGAACCCTGGGCCTAGAGCCCAAAACCTTGATGGCAACCCTGCTGATGTTTCTGAGTGCCTGTGGTTATTTATAGAACCTTTCTGGGCCTAGGACAGTAATGCCCTCCCAGATGTGTGAGAAGACGAAAGAAGATGCGTGAGAGCAGATTTTGTCACCTGGGCCATGCTAGGAAACTAGCAAGTTTCGCTGTAGGCGTTATGTTCCTCTGGGGATGACCCTAAATCCTGAGCCCCGTCTCCTCAGTGGCCCAGACCCAGCCCCTGTATCAGCCTGGGCTTCCAAGGGGGAGTTTCAGGACTGAGGCCCTTGAACCCCAGGTGCACCAGCCAAGACAGTGGTGGGAAGGGGGTGTCAATGATGCTGAGACACCCCTACCTTGCCTGGGACCATCAGTATCAGGAATACTGATTATGGAATTCACCTTAAAACACTGGCTGGAGTATTCACACCGTTACTGCAGAACGAGGCTGTCTTCTCGTCTGTTTGTTTGTTTTGTTTGCAGACAGAGTCTTACTCTGTCGCCCAGGCTGGAGTGCAGTGGTGCGATCTTGGCTCACTGCAACCGCCGCGTCCCAGGTTCAAGTGATTCTCATGCCTCCCAAGTAGTTGGGATTACAGGCACACACCACCATGCCCAGCTAATTTTTGGTTTTTTGTTTGTTTGTTTGTTTAGTAGCGATGGGGGTTTCACCTTGTTGGCCAGGGTGGTCTCGAACTTCTGGCCTCAAGTGATCTTCCCTCCTCGGCCTCCCAGAGTGCTGGGATTACGGGCGTAAGCCACTGTGCCCGGCCTGTCTTCTCATTTTGTAGACTATTTTTCCCAGCATAATAAGCCATAGGGTTAGTGGAAGTGAGAGGCAGTGCTGACTGCTGGTGACCGGCATGGGCTCCAGCAAGCTTTTTGGCCTTGTACCAGTTACTTCCTTCTGTGCCTCGGTTTCCTCATTTTGCAATGGGAGTAATAGTATGACCGACCTCGTCCAGTTGTTGTAAGAATGAAATGAGTTAATACGCTCTACATAAACCCTGGGGGCAGCGCGTGGCTTACGGTTAAGTGCCAGCTAGGAATTGGCTGATGTCACTAGACAGGGCTAACCTGTGTGTCCTCTTCTTCCCAACCCCCCAGTGCCTAGCCCCTCCTGTAACGGTTTTGACAACACCCTTTCAAGACCTTGCCGGGTGCCACTAGGAAAGGAGGTTTGCTTCATTGCCACCGTTCGCCTGGCAACACCACAATTCTTAAAGGCAAGTATCTGAGAGGCGGTTCATTTTGCGGAACTGTTATGATTGACTCACATTTTGTTGTATGTAATTAATGGTCTTTGGGAAGGGAATACATTGCAGGGAAGTTGTCACTGGCTTTGAAAATCGAAGTGTCTGGCTTCTGTGCCTGCACACACGCCCTTTCCCCTGCCCCGTTTCCTGCAAATGGTTCTGTTTGAAGGCAGTGTCACTTGCTGTTCTGCTGTTTGATAACCGTACGTCTTCCCACCTTTCACGCCGGCATTGAGACCATCCAGGGCAGGCCTGGGTGAGAACCGAGTGTCAGAGCGTTGGGGGTTTGTCTGCCTTTTCTCATCTGTGATTGCTTCACCATCGATGGCATGACTCGAGTTAAATGAGTAATTCAGATTCCGATGAAAAGCCATTTTCCACATGTTTGCCACACTTCTCGATAATGGGAAAGGATGGTGTGACATTTTGGCTCCTAGGTATTTTTCCCCAGCTTGTGAAATAAATTTAGTATCAGCTAATACCGAAATTAGCTACAGATGATGAGTTTCAGTCCAACACGACTTGGAGACTTGCTCAAAACGATTTTAACTTCTGTTACCCACCATGCGTTCCTCTTGAACAAACCTAGGGTGAGCATCTGGCACCCAAGCAACTTTTTTTTTTTTTTTTTTTTTTCTGCTTCCAATACAGGAAATGTGCATAGTTGACGAACCTTTAGAGGAATTCACTTCAAGGCATAGCTTGGAATGGAAATTTTTATTTCTGGATCACAGGTTTGAGAAAAGAAAAACATATTTGGGTTGGGCCCTTCTCAAGTCTTGTTTGCGTGAGCCAGGCTCTCCTTGGGAGAGAAGAGTCGGCCCTGGTCCATTGAAGGAGAAGGACTCTCTGGCGCTAGGAACAGTCGTCCCTGCCAAGGGTGGGTGGATGCTCTCCAACTGCATCTGCCTCGCCGTGAATATATTCTGTATTCCGGTCTGATGCCTCAGCCCCGGGCCATCTTTGGGATGATCCTTGCCCCCTTGTGAATATGTTCTGTATTCGAGTCTGATGCCTCAGCCCTGGGCCATCTTTGGGATGATCCTCCCTTGGGGCCCTTCCCAGCTCCCAGGAAGGCAGCAGCAAGTGTGAGAGAAATCTCTCATCTCATTTTTTCCAACCTCCTTTGATCCTTGAGCCCAATATTTACTTTTTCTTTTGTAACATTATTTGCCGTTGAAGAACTCCAAATTGCCCCTCCCCACCCTTTAATTTTATATTACACTTTGGTGTTGGGCTGATCCAATCTGTAGCTGTTTTGAATTACCCAGAAGTGATAAAGCTTATTGTTATCTGGGCCAAGTTATGCCAAGGGAAAGGAGTATCTATAGGCCAAAAAAAAAAGCTGAGCCCCTTGGAAAACACAGCCTCTCTGGTTTTGACCATTGCAGAGTTATGTTTCTCCCCTCGTTCTTGAGAAATGAGGCCTCCATGTTGATCATTATGGACAGGCATGGCCACCAGGGTGAGTCCTGCAGTGTATCTCCTCCCTGATGACAAGTCCTCCTTGTCCTTGTGCAGAGCCCCTCCAATCATAGGATACCTGCCTTTTGAAGTGCTGGGAACCTCGGGCTATGACTACTACCACATCGATGACCTGGAGCTCCTGGCCAGGTGCCACCAGCACCGTGAGTACCACTGCCCAGCCCAGGCATGGGGGCCTTGTGTTCACTCCACTGAGGCCCGGCAGCAGGGCTCTGGGACTCCAGATGTCTCTGCTCGTTACCTGGTTTCTTTTTAAGGTGGGGAACTTGGTTTTCTCTGAGATGATCTGGGGGCATGGTGGAGGCCCCTTATCTGCATCTACCCCCATGTCAGGTTTTCACCTGGAATTCACTTGGCCCCAAACCCTAGCACCTTCCCACTATCATCCAGACAGGCGCCCTGTTTAACCCTAATTAAGAAACTAAGGTGATGCAGGGACTTTTTTTTAAGTTATGCATTTCAGAGATAAAATACCGGGTTCTCATAACTGTTCTTTCATCAGCAGATATGTATTGCTCACTAACCGTAGGCCGGATACTGAGTAGCCCGGCAGATGGGGGCGATCAGTACCTACTTGCTGTCCCACAGGGCAGGTCTACTGGGAAAGCCAGCCATGGGTGACTTTGTGGGATGTGGTTGGTGCACTGAAGGGGATGCACACAGCATATTGGGAGACTCAAGAGGACCCTCACAGCTGGGGTTCAGGGAAGGCTCTTTCCCACAGAAGAGGGGAACACATTAGCAAATGTATGGGAGATGGGACTTATGAAGTGGACAAGTGGGAATTACAAGCTTGTCCAAGTTCTCACTTAGCAAGTGGCTTCAAGAATGAACCACTTAAAGCTGTATTTTCAGTGCCAACTCTTAACTTTAAACAGGAATACTGACCTGTTGATCCTGATGCATGAACTGACCACTAACATTGTGCTTTAAAAGATGCCTCACCTGTAGTATCCATGAGAACTTTTTTTTGAGACAGATTCTCGCTCTGTCACTCAGGCTGGAGTACAGTGGTGCAATCTCAGCTCACTGCAAGCTTCGCCTCCCGGGTTCAAGCGATTCTCCCGCCTCAGCCTCCGGAGTAGTTGGGATTACAGGCACATGCCACCACGCCCAGCTAATTTTTTGTATTTTTAGTAGAGATAGGGTTTCACCATGTTGGTCAGGCTGGTCTCAAACTCCTGACTTCAAGTGGTCTGCTCACCTCGGACTCCCAAAATGCTTGGATTGCAGGCGTGAGCCACTGTGGCTGGCCAGAACTTTCTCTTCTGTGGAGAGGGAAGGAAGAATAGGCTTGAGTTCCATCTGGATCGGCTGTTAGAATTTAAAGCTAATCATTAAAACTGTAACTCGTTGCTCCTCAAGAGTGTGGTCTAGGACCACGCTGCGTAGGCATCATGGGAAGGATGCCACACTTGTAGAATCAGGCCTACTCAATCAGGGTGTCTATTTTAACAAGGTCCCCAAGTGAAGAATGACGTTCAGCATTTGAAAGGCTTCTCAATGGCTTGGGCAAGAGGTCCTTGCTCTGTGGAGGCCACGCCCTCAATCTGCTGGGCTTCTCTCCTCTTCAGATAGTCACATTCTCCAAGGCAGTGTCCTTCTGTAGCATTAGTTTCCTAGTTGAGATTTCTCTTAACCATTTACCTAAAGAGGTGCTAAATTCCAGGCACTATGGCAATAAAACCCAAATCATTCTTCTTCCTTGAATCCATAGTCCATCTTTCTGCCCTGCCCAGGCTTGATACACCGTCAGCCTCCATTCTGCTCCAGACACCCCTAGAGGAGCCACCCACAGACATCATGATGGGGGGCTCCAAGCGGCTCTGGGGAAGGAGGAAGCCTGGGGTGGAGGCATCTGTCCTTGACTCTTTATTTGAGAATCGTGTCAGCTGAGCGTGAACTGCTGACTGACAGCCACAGAGTCCGTCCAGAGGTTGCCGGCCGGCAGGTCTGTTTTCGGGCCAATTCTGGATGCTCTCCCCTGGGCTCCTGCAGCTCCAAAGACAGCTCTGCCTGCAGCGGGAAGATGAGCAGCAGGCAAACCTGGGCCTCTGTTTCATTAAACCTGCAGTTTGAAAATCCGTCTGCATCTGCCCTTATTTGAGGATCTCTTTCAGCTTCTGAGCATTTGGGAAAGTATATGGATCACTCTTCTACTGTTTAAGAATTCATGACAGTGTACCATGATCCTGATAGTTACTTAAAATACAGGGCAACCGGGGAAACAAGCCATGTTTGGTGCCGTCCTTTTGAAAGCTGATCTTAACAATAACTCCGGGGGAAAAGGATCACTTTTATATTAACATTGGTTATATGCAGAATCCATTTTCTACTCACAGTGATGCAGTTTGGCAAAGGGAAGTCGTGTTGCTACCGGTTTCTGACCAAAGGTCAGCAGTGGATTTGGCTGCAGACTCACTACTACATCACCTACCACCAGTGGAACTCCAAGCCCGAGTTCATCGTGTGCACACACTCGGTGGTCAGGTACCGTGCACGGGCAGGGGTGCGGCTGCGTCCTTGCCACACCTCGGCGGGGTACAGGGTGGCCCCTGATGGCCGAGTCAGATCAGCAGTCACTCAGGTGTTCTCCATTTCGAGGATCAAGCCCAGGCCATCCCCTGCCGTTAACAGCATAATTCCCAGGGCTCAGCTCGCTTCCGGGCACCACTGGCTCTGCCCTCCCAGGGCTGAGACTCCTTTCAAGCTCTCAGTCAGGCCCCTTTGAACGCCTCATGGACTCTCGCAGGCTGCCAGGCTATTACTTAGTAAGTGACTGCTTCACTGACCTACTTACATATTTTCCCATCTCCATCCAACCCACAGCCTTCCCTTGTTCCTGCTTTGAGTAGAAAATTTAAATTTTACCTCTAAATAACTCAAACACATATTCCCCTTTATTTTTAATGCTTTAAAAACCCCTGCTGGCAACTGAGGCAGTGTTGGGAAAACAGCCTGGCTGCCAGTGGGCGCAGGTTCCCGGGAGGTCCCCGCTGGCCTCAGGGAGCCCTCCACCCAGGGCGGGTGAGCGGGACTTCAAAGAGACGCAGTGTGGCCAGGGTTTCATCGACGCCGCCTTTGTGGGTCTCTGCTCCCAAGGATGAAGGGGAAAATGGTCCTCTCCACACTACAGAAATTTTAAGAACGTAAATTAGTTTTAAGCTGGCCTCCAGAAAAGCCTTGGAGAAAGGGCAAAGAAAGAAAAGTTGGAAGGACAGCATGCCTTTTTTTTTTTTTTTTTTTTTAAACTTTAAGTTCTGGGATTAATGTACAGAATATGCGCAGGTTTGTTACACACGTATACATGCGCTTTGGTGGTTTGCTGCACCTGTCAACCCATCATTGAGGTTTTAAACCCCACATGCATTAGGTATTTGTCCTAATGCTCTCCCTCCCTTTGTCCCCTACCACCCCCACCGCCCACAGGCCCTGGTGTATGATGTTCCCCTCCCTGTGTCCATGTGATCTCATTGTTCAACTCCCACTTATGAGTGAGAACATGCGGTGTTTGGTTTTCTGTTCCTGTGTTAGTTTGCTGAGGATAACGGCTTCCAGCTTCATCCATGTTCCTGCAAAGGACATGAACTCATTCTTTTTTATGGCTGCATAGTATTCCATAAATTAGAAAAACCTACTTTAAATTTCATATGCATTTCTTATATAAGCCACTTGCTGCTTGATAATGGATGTTTCGAGAAATGTGTCATGAGGTGATTTTGTCATCATGCAAACATCATAGAGTGTACTGGACACATTAGATGATGTGGTACCTTGGCTGTACCGTATAGTGTATTGTTCCTAGGCTACACGCCTGTACAGCATGCTATTGTGCTGAACACTACAGGTAGTCATAGCACAGGTGTAAGTGTGCATCTAAATGCATCTGAACACAGAAAAGGTACAGTAAAAATACGGCGTTCCAGTCTTTGGGAACCACTAATGTCCCATAAGCACATGACTATATATATGTAACAGACACTATGCACACACATACACACACACACACACACACACCCCATACATACATCAGGTCACCAAACCAGGCATTCTTCCTTAACATGCAGAAGAGGGGAGAAACACTAGTTTTCAGCAGCCAATGACCCTGATCCCACTTGACCACACTTCGTGCCCTCGCTCAGGGACTTGATCTTGGATTCCCAGGCCGCCACTGGGCGTGCAGCAGCAGTGATGTCTGACTCCACGGCAGCCGCCTGTTGCCACGCAGCCTGGTCCTCTGCCCGAGGGCCCCCTACCCCCAGGGAAGGCTGGGCAGCTCTGACCCCTCGCTCTTTAGGCTGTGCCCTTTACCAGCTCTTCTTCTCCATCCTCCACCTCTCAAATCCTTGGAAGAAACTCTCAGAGAAAGGAGGGAGAGAACAGAGTGAATGAATCAGGTGGCAGGCATTCCGGAGGCCCAGGAGCCACGTCGCTTCCCAAGGCCTCTTACACCGGGGTCTCCACACCCAGGGCAGAGGCACCACGGGATCACTTAGGCATCACTGTGTTGAGTGGATTTACCCACACTCCTGAAAAGTGGGCCTGTGGGCTTATCTGTGGTCTGAATTTGGCTATTCCTGCGTTTGTTTGAGAGGAAACTTTCTGAGAAATGTAACTACTAAAAAAGTTTTGTGTCACTCTTCCATATGCACGGTCCAGACTGAGCAGGTTTTAAGAAAGGCTTCTAATTATTTAAAGGCAGAAGCTTATCCCATAGACGAAAATGGGTTTTTTAAAGACAATTACAATTGGAGATTTCAGGGAAGTAAAAAGAATAGTAAATGAGAGGGGAATAAAGACATCCTGGAAATAAAAAGATTTTGAACGTCATATTGTAAGTCACTCAGGTGGAATTTAAGGCAGAGAATGACGCTCATTCCTTCCAACAAGTCGCAGGCTAGGCTCCTCTGTGTTGACTGTTGTGGGGGGCAAGGGTTCCCGAGAGAACCTCGATGTACCTTGCAGTCTGTTCAGGGGGTGTCGTCCCGTCCTGGAATGCCCCATCTCCACCGTGGTCTCTTAATTTCCTGTGCAGTTATGCAGACGTCCGGGTGGAAAGGAGGCAGGAGCTGGCTCTGGAAGACCCGCCATCCGAGGCCCTCCACTCCTCAGCACTGAAGGTATGGCCATCCCCGCTAGATGGATACAGCCAAGGTTGGCTAGGAAGAAAATGCAGCCAACCAGTCTCAGAAACAAGGGTTTATTTTCATCAATGGAAGGACACATCCAAGCTATGCAGGAGGCTGAGGTAGGAGGATCCCTTGAGGCCATCACATGGAGGCTGTGGTGAGCTATGATTGTGCCACCATACTCCAGCCTGGATGACAGAGTAAGACTCTATCTCAAAAAAAAAAAAAAAAAAAAAAAAAAAGAAGAGCCTGCAGAGCTGGGTTACACACAGCCCCTGGACTCAAAGCATGGCTCGGCGACTTTCCAGCCTTACGAGCATGGCTTCAGTGAGTCCACTGGGCATTTCCTCCACAGATAAGACACGGGGGAGTTCCTCCCTCCCCCGCTGGGTTGTGGAGGAATTCCAGAGTCCCTGGTCTTCCTTTGCTTGAGGGCCATGGCACTGCCTCCAGGACCCAGGCACCGCTTCCAGGATGCAGGCACCCTATGGGGAGACTGCCCTCGCACACCATCCCCCCTGTCACCTATGCTTTCTATTTCTGTGTTCAGGGGTCTTGGTGAACATCATGCTGGAGCCAGCTCGGGGTCAGGGAGCCCTGCTGTAGAAAGGCATTCCCTCCACAGAGCCCCTTCCGTCGTTCCTTCCACACTGAGCCCTCTGCTCCCCTCTGCCTAGCCAGACGTCTCCTTGTCCCTGCTCCTGGTCCACAGCTCCTGGGAACCTTGGGGACCATCTGCAAGTAGACCAGAGCCCTGTTCTTCAGAGTCCATTCTTAAAGCAGACATAAATGTTGGGAGAAAAGGAAAAAAAGCAAGAAAGGGAGGGAGTGTTGTATTTCATCAAAGTTAAGGAAGCTGTCAGCTGGAAGATCCACATGAATTTTTCTTTTTTTTTTTTTTTTTTTTGAGACAAAGTCTCGCTTTGTTGCCCCAGCTGGAGCGCAGTGGTGCAGTCTCGATCTCGGCTCACTGCAACCTCCACCTCCTGGATCAAGCAATTCTCCTGCTTTAGTCTCCCAAGTAGCCGGAATTACAGGTGTCTGCCACCACACCCGGCTAATTTTTGTGTCTTTATTTATAGAGACAGGGTTTCACTGTGTTGGCCAGGCTGGTCTCGAACTCCTGACCTCAAGTGATCTTCCCGCCTCAGCTTCCCACAATGCTGGGATTGCAGGCGTGAGCCACCGTGCCTGGCCTCCACGTGATTTTTTTTGTCCCACTAAGAGAAAAATTGCTGCCAACCAATCTCTGAAACAAGAGTTTCTTTTCATCAAGGGAAGGACACGTCTTAATTTCAGAAGTGTTCAAATGTGAGTGCTGGAGAGGGGAGTACCTCTTAGAACTGGTGAAGCTCAACTTCCAGGGTGCCCAGTGACCCCGAATCCAGAGCCTTGGGCCAGAGGCCGGTGCCACAGCAGTGGTCCAGCCTTGCAGGCTGTCTGTGGTCCAACAGAAGCATCTCTTACCCTTGAAGGGCCACGTTGGGAGGAAGGAGAAATCACAAGATCAGAGAGCAGTGGGTGCCTTGGCAGAGCCTCCCCAGCTGCTGTGTCATGTGGTGGTGTGTTCCGTGGCGATTCATCACCAGCGCGCGGATAGGACGCAGCTGACATTGTTTATGGAAGTGTTTATTACCCAGCCCTGTCACACTATACATTATGTATCATGTCATAGAGGGAACTCAGCTGCTAATAGGCAGATGTTAGACACACCATACATCATGGCTGAAGAACAGGCGTAGTGTGTATCATCCAGTCAGAAATTTATCATTGAGGTTTCTGATCCTTGGGGAGTCCTGGAGCCCTGTGAAAGAATGTCTTCTCATCAAAATGCACATATGTAAAGATACAAACACAATCACCGGGCGCGGTGGCTCATGCCTGTAATCCCAGCACTTTGGGAGGCTGAGGCGGGGAGATCACAAGGTCAGGAGTTCGAGACCAGCCTGACCAACATGGAGAAACCCAGTCTCCACTAAAAATACAAAAATTAGCTGGGCGTGGTGGCGCACACCTGTAATCCCAGCTATTGGGGAGGCTGAGGCTGGAGAATCACTTGAACCCAGGAGGCAGAGGTTGCCATGAGCGAAGATTATGCCATTGCACTCTAGCCTGGGCAACAGAGTGAGACGTGGTCTCAAAAAAATAATAATAAAAATACAAACACAATCTTGGGCACTGGGTTAAGAAATCCCTTTAAAGTAAAAGCTCCCACCAGAGCTCCCAAACTATCTGTGATGTTGAACCAGTTTGGTTTTTATAGCTTTGCTGTCTGTCACTGTCCAGTGCATTTGTAAAATGCAGATTCCTGTGTGTGGATGTGATGTGCAGAGACGTCAAATGGGCATCCAAGTTCCTCCGTGCTTATTCTCACTTCCTGGACCAACTTCTCTGCTGACTAGGAACACATAATTCATAAAGAGCCGTGGTCCAGGGACCCCGCTGTAAGGAGCCTGGTCAAAGGGAAACTGAACCAAGCAGCAAGGTCCCCAAATTGCCATTTACCTCAGCACATCCAGCCACATCTGGTATTTCTGTTTTGCACAAAGGCCCGTAGGTCACATGTCAGTCACTTTAGCCCTACTGTAGGCGCACAGCGTCCACCCCCACTGCAGCCGTGACACAAAAGACAAAACAGCCACACAGACGCACGCATGGGATTTCATACCCAAGGCCATGGGACACAGACCAGCCCGTTGACGTAGCCCAGAGATGCTGGCAGTTTCCATTCTTCTAAGACTAGGTAGGAATGCAGCTCAGGAGAGTAGTCACTGTTTTGTTTTCTTCTTTAGCTTAAAAATTATCCCAACCTTTGTTTTGTTTATTATTATTTTTTTAGACCTTGTCTCACTATGTTGCCCAGGTGCCCAGGCTGGAGTGCAGTGGCATGATCTCAGCTCACTGCAACCTCTGTCTCCAAAGTTCAAGCTGTTCTCCTGCCTCAGCCTCCCAAGTAGCTAGGATTACAGGCGCCTGCCACCACATCCAGCTAATTTTTATATTTTTAGTAAGGACGGTGTTTCACCATGTTGGCCAGGCTGGTCTCGAACTCCTGACCTCAAATGATCCGCCTGCCTCAGCCTCCCAAAGAGCTGGGATTACAGGCATGAGCCACTGCGCCCAGCCCCAACACAACCCGTTTTCATGTGTCTATAAGAGCTAAGCCACAGAGGATGGAAAAACGGTCCCTCGGAGTCAGACTGTCACAGCTGCTTTCTCGTCACACTATATTTGAGGCAGAGACATCCCGAGAGCCAGGGTCAGTCAGGAGCAAGAGGTTTAAAGACAGGAGACCCCTTGCCCTCACTGGTTCTCCACTCCAGGGGACACTGAGGCTGCAGAGAATGAGTAACAGGAGAAAGCGTGGGAAGGACCCAGGAAGGTCCAAAGGCACCTGTCCCACTGGATGAGTTTATAGTCCACTGCCAGCAGCAACCTTATTTCTAGAACTGTTTCCCTCTTCTTGGAAAGTCAAGATGCTGGATGGTGAAGTGACAATGTTGAGGACAAAATTAAATGCAAAGTCAGTTATGAAAACATAAACAATAAAAACCAAAGGCAAGAAAGGGTAATAAACACTGCTTTTCGGCTGCAAGCCTCTCTGGGGCTTTAGGTTACATGTATGTATATACACTACGCAAGCGTCTTTGGAATCGTCCCTAAACAACTATGGTATTTGTCTCAGCAGCTTCTGAGGTTGTCGACATACTTAGAACTAAAGTCACGCCCAGTGATTCTTTCCTCTGGATGCTGACATGAGGACTGTTTGATGTGTGTGTTTCAGGACAAGGGCTCAAGCCTGGAACCTCGGCAGCACTTTAACGCACTCGACGTGGGTGCCTCGGGCCTTAATACCAGTCATTCGCCATCAGCGTCCTCAAGAAGTTCCCACAAATCCTCACACACAGCCATGTCAGAACCCACCTGTGAGTGCGAGTCCATGGATGGGGAGTGGGACGGGGGACCGCATCGGATCAGAGGGACAGCCCCACAGAGGGTCCCCGGGCAGTCTGTGCCTCTGACAGAGGTTGCTGTGCAGTTTATACTCCTTTCCTTTCCCAGACTTCCCGCCTTCTGATCACCTCTCCACACTCTGGTATCCATTCAGTGCCAAGCAAAGACCTTGAGTGGGTGGCGCACGGATCTGATCCCTTGGCTGCTTTTAGTCATTCTGGGGAGGCATCTGATCAGGCAGCTCACTGGACCAAGCAGCAGAAATGAAGTTTTGGGAGTGTTTGTGGTTTCTCCCACCTGCTGCCAGGCTGGGCTTCTGTGGTTCACCTCAACCCTGCATGGTGGACTTCCTTTATCAGCGATCCCAACTGAGCTCTTGTGTTAGCACACCACGGTCATGGGTGTCCTCTTCGGATGAATACATGCTACGTATGTCTAAGTTAGGAAAGTCATTCATTGCTTTCTTACAGCCACTCCCACCAAGCTGATGGCAGAGGCCAGCACCCCGGCTTTGCCAAGATCAGCCACCCTGCCCCAAGAGTTACCTGTCCCCGGGCTCAGCCAGGCAGCCACCATGCCGGTAAGTGTGTGACCCCAGACTCCTCCACGGGAGTACGCTACAATGTGGTGGGGGCTGCAGAGCCCCAGGCGAGGTGCTGCGTCTCCCCAGAGGATCCTCTTACTTGGGGATTGAGAGTGTAGGGTGGCAGATGGGGGTGGGAAGTTAAGTAATTTAACTGGCAACTAATTTTAAACATTTGCATGACAAAATTAACATGGATGCATATCCGTAGAATACAAAATCCAAGTGAATTTTAAGGATAAAAGGCAAAACTACAAACCCGGGGTCATACCGTCATACCCCTACAGCCCCTGAGGCCACACAATTAGGATTCTTCTGTTTCGAATCCCCTCTCATGCTGGTGTAAATGTTTGAGCAGCTCAGTGCTAACAAAAATGTACCTCTGCACGTATCAGGTGGGACCCGACCCCAACGTGTGCCAGATCCTTCCAGAACGTCAGGGGATGCATGGCCCTGAGAAAGCACACTGGCCATGTGTCAAGTCGCTGGCATGCACCACTCTGGTCATCTATTGCCAGGAAGCAAACTACGCCTAACTTAGTGGCCTAAAGCAACCACGTGTATCAAGTTCATGGAGCCTGGGTCAGGAATTCAGAAAGGGCATCATGGGGATTACACTTCCCTGCTCCTTGGTGTCGGGGGTCTCATGGGCCTAGGCTACAGAACCCCTCCTCCAGATAGTGTCTGCACATGAATGTCCGGCACCCAGGCTGGGTGGCTGAGGGCTGGGCTCATCCGAGGCCCTCCGTCATCGACTTGCACAGGCCTCTCAAGCCTTAGGCTGCTCCTGGCATGGTGGTGGACTCCGGGTTCCAAGAGGGGACATCTGGAGAGGCAGGCAGGAGCCATGCAGCCCTCTGTGACCTAGCCATGGAAGTCAACATAGTGTCACCACGGCCATACCTCTTGGTCAAAGCAGTCCCGAGCTCACCCATCGAGAAGGATCTAGACCTCCACTTCTAGATGGGAGAAGTACCCAGGAATTTTAGGGGCCACCTCCAGATAGTTACCACGCCCCTCCCACCCACACTTCACTGTCACTTTGGAGATGGAGTGAACGTGCCACCTTCCTGCCTGCTGTCTCCGTAAAGGCTTTGCCCACCCTGCTTGACAAGCTTGGGCGATGCGTTTCATTTTCAAGTAGAACATGGCAAAGACCACTTATTTGCTCTCCAGTCACCTCCAGATGCGCTTGCAAGCTGTGCCTGCCATTCTTCCAGACTCTCCTGTCCAGTGTGACTCACTCTGCCAACAGTGGAGGCCCAGAGTGCCTCCGTCTCCTCCCAGCTGTGCAGGGAAACCGAGCCCAGACCAGCTTCTGGTTCAGCCCTGTGCCTGGGACTTCTCGCTGAAACAAGGTCTCCTGGTGTCATTTCCTCCCAGTGCTGTCCTGGGTGACACTTTCCATTTGAGCTGCTTTTTTGGATAGGCCCTAGCAACTAGGGGCCGTGTCGGAATAACTTCAGACGAGTCCTTTCACTGTTCTTTTAAAAAAAAAACCACTGGCCCGTGAAGCAGAGTGTTTCATTTCTTGTTCCTATACATTGTCTCCCCCACCCACCCGAGTGATCAGGGAACACAGATGTGACTCAGCTCACTTCCCTGGAGTCTCTCAAAATGTTCTGGACAGAGGCTGGTGAGGTTGCCCCAGTCCTCACTGCCTGGATGAGTTCTTGGACAAACATGCACGGTCTGTTCATCTGCATCAGCACTGAGCAGAAAAGATACGGACGCACAGGCCAGCTCATGGTAGCAGTCCACGCACATCATCCTGCTTGATGACACCGCTAAGAATTAGTCCATTTGGGAGGAGGGCAACCAAATCCACCCAGGGCGGAGTCCAGGACAGCAGGCAAGGGCAGGGAAATGGAGCTGAGCTACCAGGCTTGGGCGGGTAGCAGCAGCCTGGCAGAGCACACTGTGGTGGGGCGGGAGCCTGCACCGGTTGTGCGGGGGCTCTGCCCGTGTGCCCTGCATGGGAAGCAGTGCAGCCAGGGAACAGACACCTATACTTTCTAGAAGTCTTGACTTTCAGCTGTTCACCCCAGTGTGGAACGCAGAGAACCCACTGGACCAAGAGACCACATTCCTGTCTCCTGGAATGGCAGAAGCAGTGGTAACAAAGTCCCTTTCTCTCCCACAGGCCCCTCTGCCTTCCCCATCGTCCTGCGACCTCACACAGCAGCTCCTGCCTCAGACCGTTCTCCAGAGCACACCCGCTCCCATGGCACAGGTGAGTCTGGGACCCAGGGCAGGGCAGCCGCTCTCAAGCCAGCAGCCCGCAGTGTGCTGTGCTGACGGTCTCATATACTTGGGTACCAACCAAGGCCCTGACATTGGGGAATGTCCCTCCTGATGTGCACGTGGCCTGTGTCCATCCCTGAGGTTCCCCCCACACCCACCTTCTCGTCTCCAAGTTCTTCTTTCCAGTGTCTGGGTTTTTCTTTTTTAAAATTTCAATAGTTTGGGGGGAACAGGTGGTGTTTGGTTATATGGATAAGTTCCTTAGGGGTGATTTCTGAGATTTTGTGTACCTGTCGCCCGAGTAGTGTACACGGCACCCAATATGTAGTCCTTTATGCCTCACGCCCCTCACCCTTCCTCCCACCAGCCCCAAAGTCCAGTATTTCATTCTTATGCCTTTGTAGCCTCATAGTTTAGCTCCCACTTAGAAGTGAAAACATATGATATTTGATTTTTCATTCCTGAGTTGCTTCACTTAGAAGAATGACCTCCAGCTCCATCCAAGTTGCTGCAAAAGTCCAGGGTTTGTTCTTTTAATTCTTTTAACAGTCTCTGTTCACCTCTTTGCCACTTTTCCACATTCCTCTTGTTCTTTACGACTCCACCTTGGCCATGGCATTTTAGAAAAGATCTGAATTGGGCTGCATGTCACAGAAAGACTGAAAGCATCTAAAACCCGTGAGTCCAGCACTATAAATATCACATTTGTTTAAAAAAAGAAAGAGAAGAAAGGGATTACGGCTTTGCTGAGTAATTCCATCCTTGTTTCAACAACATTCGGTGAGTTACTATTTGGGTCAGTCAGTGAGCGAGGTGTTAGGGATGTGAAGATGTAAGTCAGCCCTTGCTTTTAGTACTCAGAACTAAAGGGAGAGACAGGCATGTAAACAGAGACACCGCCGTGGCAGGGCATGCGTTTTTATAGAACCACGAAGGAAATATTCTGCCCAGGGAAGTCTGACGTGGCTTCCTGGAGGAGGTGACGCTTGAGTTGGCCTTGAAAGGTGGGTAGGAGGTTGCCAGATGGTGCGGCAGGGGGACAGCAGGGATGTACTTCAGCAGGGAGGAATGAACACGGGGAGTGACAAACCGTGCCCAGACCTGAGCTCTGACTTCAGTTCCCTCATAGGAGACTTAGCTCTGCCCAGACCATGGCCACAAGCTAGAGCTGCGTCCCAGATGGCGGTTCAGCAGCAGGTGCCCCTCTCTGTCTTGGCACACATCTGTCACCACTGATGAAAACTATTTTGGAACATATGCCCTCTTAGTGGGGCTCTCTCATGCGTTCCTGGAGTAAGACACATGCTGAGGCATGATGCTTGCTAGAGTGAGGCTTGAGGAGTGGCGTAAAAGCTGCCCTTCTGGAACCTACTCATTCAAACTGCCTATATTCACCCTCATTAGGCCAAAAAAAAAAAAAAACCTGAATAATGTTTTTCTCTTTAAATTTCCAAGACATATTTGGTATGAAATTAGTAACTTTTTAATCCAAAGGGGGCATAACATGAAGATGCCTTTACTTCTGGGTCTTGCATTATAAAGAATGACTGTGTTTATAAGACACAAGGGGGTGGTGCAGTCCCTTTTGGAATTCTGATTTTTCATCTATTGAACTTCTTAGTCTGCCATATGTACTATATTTAATCATAACTATATTTATTTATTTATTTATTTATTTATTTATTTTTGAGACGGAGTTTTGCTCTTGTCGCCCAGGCTGGAGTGCAATGGCAGCATCTTGGCTCACTGCAACCTCCGCCTCCTGGGTTCCAGTGATTCTCCTGCCTCAGCCTCCCAAGTAGCTGGGAATTACAGGAATGCGCCACCACGCCTGGCTAATTTTGTATTTTTTGTAGAGACGGGGTTTCACCATGTTGGTCAGGCTGCTCTTGAATTCCTGACCTCAGGTGATCCGCCCACCTCGGCCTCCCAAAGTGCTGGGATGACAGGCGTGCGCCACAGCGCCCAGCCAGTAACTGTATTCTTTAAGACATCCCTGCATAATACTGACTTTCCAAGCCACACAGTTCTTCCCATACCCACTGCGTGTGGAACAATGAGATTCTGGGGTTTTTCCTCTCACTCCCCTCACCCTTCAGGGAAAGGAGGGAAAAAATAAAATCCAAAATCTGGGACGGGCGCAGTGGCTCAAGCCTGTAATCCCAGCACTTTGGGAGGCCGAGACAGGCGGATCACGAGGTCAGGAGATCGAGACTATCCTGGCTAACACGGTGAAACCCCGTCTCTATTAAGAAATACAAAAAAAAAAAACTAGCCGGGCGAGGTGGCGGGCGCCTGTAGTCCCAGCTACTCGGGAGGCTGAGGCCGGAGAATGGCGTGAACCCGGGAGGCGGAGCTTGCAGTGAGCTGAGATCCGGCCACTGCACTCCAGCCTGGGCGACAGAGCGAGACTCCGTCTCAAAAAAAAAAAAAAAAAAAAAAATCCAAAATCTGAGGAGTGGTTATCTGGGTCACTGGTGGTTTTCCAAAAAGCCTCTTTCTTCATTCTGTGGTTCTAAAATGTCTTTAAATTAGAGTAGATCTCTTTATCAAAAACATCACCATCAAAAAGGTAAGGAAGGCCCCGTGATGGGGTGTCTGGCAGGCCTTGAAAAAATCAGAATAACGTGAGAGGCAGCTACCACCTCCTAACCCAGCCCGTCGCCGCTCCCTTTCCAAGCCAGCTTGGCCCCATGAGCCGCCTCCACAGCAGGTGGAAGGGGCAACCCTGAGTTTCCCAACTTTGTAGAACCTGCCAGAGAAGCTTTTGGGTTTCGTTAAATACTTGCAATCGCTCGTTTGCTTTCTCCATTGAATTCTCTCTCAAAATCCTCGCAGAGTGGTCTAATTAGTCACAGTCTGACTGGGATTTCTGTGAGTCTGGGATAGCGCAGGTATTTTTTTAAATTTTTATATATATATATATATATATATTTTTATTTTTTTTTTTTTTTTTTTAGACAGAGTCTCACTCTATTGCCCAGGCTGGAGTGCAGTGGTGCAATCTTGGCTCACTGCAACATCCGCCTCCCGGGTTCAAGCGATTCTCCTACCTCAGCCTCCTGAGGAGCTGGGATTACGGGTGCCCGCCACCACGCCTGGCTAATTTGTGTATTTTTTAGTAGAGATGGGGTTTCGCCATGTTGGCCAGGCTGGTCTCAAACTCCTGACCTCAGGTGATCCGCCCACCTCGGACTCTCAAAATGCTGGGATTACTGGTGTGAGTCACCACCCCCGACCCAGCGCAGGTATTTTTAAATGCATGGGTAGCAACAGAACCTTCCTTTTAAAGGAAGTCTGAGGTCAAAGCTGCTCTGGTTAAGGTGGGAGTGTCTTGTGGGCAAAACTCATTGGCCGCGCTTAGCTACTAAGACTTGGGATTTGCATGTTGGTGCTGCCACCATCTCGCTGTGTGACTTCCAACAGGGTGCAGCCTCCTGTGGTGGCATGTGAAGAAGTATAACACACATACCTCTACTTGCCCGGGGCAGCAGCTGGCACCTGAGGGTCTCTGCAAATGTCAGCACCTGCTATTCTTATTCTTGCTGGTTCTTTTTATTATGATTTCGCTGCCTCAGGAGCTATGCTTTCAGTTATTTCATCCTATCTGTTTCTCAACTCTCCTGGTCTCCTTGCTTCTCTGTGTCTGGGAGGTCAAAGGGCAGAGGAAAAGAGAGAGGCCCTGGGGGCATTTGCAAAAGACAGTGGGCAGGAAACAGACTAGGGAGATTGGTGGGCTAGAGATTGAGGGAGTGGAGGCTAAGTCATGGTGAAAAGGGAGAGAGAGAAAAAGAAAATGAATCTAGCAAACTCATTCGCCTCAAGATACAGGAGTCACAGCCCCAGAGAGCCCAGAGCAGGGGCTACAGGCCCCTCCTGCCATCCCTCCCAGTGTTTCCTGCAAGCAGAGGAGCCTGTGTTGAGGGAGACGGGACAGGAGGCAGAGACCACCTGCAGGTTTCGTAAGGCCAGCCTCCTTTCCTAGAAAGGATGAAGGGTCCAAAGGAAGGGGAGGCCCAAAACAATCACCCTGTCTTTACCTCAAGGTCACACTGGAGAGGGGGACCCTTGGAGTAAAGACCGGGGGATTGTTTTGTTCTTTTGTTGCACAGATTTCGGAGACGTGCATAGTAGCAAGGAAGCCTGGAGTGGGGAGGGTGAGGGGAATAAGTCCTTTATGATCCCAGGCTGGTTTGGAGAGAGCCAGGATCAGATTTAGGATCATGACCAGACCCAAAAATGCCTGTGAAGCTGTCACATACAAACTGCCATGCCCTAAACGAGGGGGACGAGGGACTGTTTGATGCCCTGGTTTTGACATTCATCTCCAAAACCATTTGTTCATCTCGCCAAATTTGGAATATCAGTTTGTAAACATTGCTTACAAAATCCTGTCCCAATTCTATGGCCCTCCCAGACTGCAGGGCAGTCACTCAGGTCTGCAGATTCAGGCGGGCCTGCTGTCATAGCCAGCCTGAGACAGACTGGCACAGGGGCCCTGGGGATGTCCAGACCTCATCTGCAGCCCCCGTTCACTGTCCAGGACCCAGCCACGGGCTCCTTAGGGACGCTGGGAAAGACGGCTAAGGGACGGAAATGAAGTGTACAGACTGAACAGCAGCAAGATCTGCCTGCAAGGCTGAAATAACTCTTTCATCTGGTTATGTTTTTTGGCTCCACCTTGAAGTTTTCGGCACAGTTCAGCATGTTCCAGACCATCAAAGACCAGCTAGAGCAGCGGACACGGATCCTGCAGGCCAATATCCGGTGGCAACAGGAAGAGCTCCACAAGATCCAGGAGCAGCTCTGCCTGGTCCAGGACTCCAACGTCCAGGTGATGCCCTTCCCGGACTGGCCTCTGTCCCTGCTGCCGCATGGGGAGGGGTCCTGCCACCATTTCCAGGCAGCCAGGACTTCCTCCCAAGCCCTGTGCACTGCCCTGCCAAGCCCGTATTTGCTTATGAAAGCATACTGCAGTCTCCGCAAAGGACAAGGAACAAATCCCAGTCCTCATCCCTGCCTCCAGCCCACACCCCTGATGTCGTCTTCCCTCGCCCCTCACTCTGGCAGGCACATCTACTCGCTGTCTCCACCTGCATTTGCACTTGTGCACTTGGCATTGGATTGCCCTGCATGGATGCCTGCCTCGGTCCTGGGTAGCACCTCCCTGCACCTCTGTAACTTTGCTTTCCTAGCTCCCAGCCCAGGCTGCCATCAGGAGGATATGTAAGCAGCTCTGCTGTTTCTCATCCAATGCAGGCATCCAGGGAGATGTGGGAGACGATGATATCCATATCCCAGCCTACTGGAGACTGCAGAGGGAGCTGGGTGGCACCCCATTTGTGGTGTGCCAGCAGGGAGGCTGCGCAAGCCCCAGCAGCAGCAGCTCTCACTGTGACCCCCAGATATTAGAATTGTTTGGAGAGGTCTATGTTTTGGTTCTTGTTTTGTTTTGGAGGAAAACCTTTTTATATTGGATCTCTTTTAATAATATATAATGTTTTACTTATATTAGTCCAGGACTGTGTATCTTCAGAAGTGTCTGATTCTGACCCAGCCTTTGATTGTAAATGTAACTCTAGCTAACCTTGGCGTCCGCCCTGAGAGCACTAAGCATTTGGAGACCCTGAGAAGGGACAGAAAGAAGCAGAAATAACATCTCTGCCGGAGCACTGTCCCTGTTGCTTCCCCCATCACCCATGTACGCAGACCCTCCCCTGGCCACACAGCTCTTGAAGTGCAGCCACACCTACCACAGGAGACAGGCCAGTTCTGTCGGGGCCCAACTCGGTGAGCTAGGGCACGCTGAGATGAACACGCAGCGGTGCAGGTGTCTGGGGGCTTAGGGAGATGCTCATTTGGCTGTCCTGCCTTGCTGAGGTCCCAGCAGCTCCACCTGGCCCTCAGGGGCACTCCTGGTGGCTTTCTAGAGGCTCAGTGTCCCTCCCCTTCCTGCCCCTGCACAGGCCTCTCAGAGGTGTCTGCCCACCTTAAAGAGAAGAGCCCCGCCCTGGACAGGCCACCTCCCCGCCCGCTCCCCTCAAGACGTGGTGTGTGCACCTTGAGCAGGCTTCACCCAGACAGCCTGGGCCGTGCCAGAGCCCTGCTGCTCTCCCACCTCCTTGGTGCACCCTTACATTGACCAGGAAAAGGCTCAGCCTTCTCGTGAAAAGAAATGGAGTCACCAAGCTGCCATTCCACCTTTTACCAGAATAGGTAAAAAGTGGCTTTTTCCTGACGCCTTCCCGGCTGGAATATTTTTCTCACTGATCCGGGGCCTGACTGGGAGCCCAACGCTTGCCTGACTCCAATTACTTTAATGGAATTTTTACACTAACAGGAAGGGGGAAATCGAGCCAGAAACTGCTAAAATTGAGGTAGGCGTATGAACATCCCCCTCAGTGCCTGGAGTTTTTCTACTTCCTGCCTTTTCAACATTAAGGCTGAATTTTAAAATAACAGGCAGCAGAGTTACTGCTTTCACTCCTGTTATAACAAAGTATTTTTCCTCCTTGTGACCCGTGCCTTTGGTTAACCCCAGAGCACCTACGCCAGCGTGCACCGAGGGATGTTCTGAGCTGGTTGGCGTGGGAATCGCGCCCTCCGGTGCTTTCCTGCGCTGGGTTCATTCCTGAGGCCTTATCTTTGCAGTGGAATTTTCCAGAGATCATGGAAATCCACACAGATAGTCAAGACAGAGGACGTTTCCTCAAGGAGTCTGCCTTGTTTTTTCGTAAGACTTAAAGAGATATGTTCCAAAATGTGGTATTTGTTGTGTTTTTTTTTTTAAACTAAACTGTGCGATTCAAGTGCGAAGAATGAGCAACTACAAATGACTCCAGCCCACCCCCAAAAGTAGAGGGATAGATAAAATAAGAATGACAAAACATAGATGATTTTTGAAACCTAATGATGATGCCAAGGTTTCATTATATCACTTGTCTATTTTGTATACTTCTCAAATGTACTGTAATGACAAGAATTTGTAGAAATAAGCAGATAACACTAATGAAAAATCATCTGTGAGTGTAGGATTGGTTTGTTCTTGAAAACTAGAACTTGTTGGTTTGTTTTCTCCCACAACTTTTCCCACTTGGAGAACTTTTTTTTTTTTTTTTTCACGTTTTCCATAAACTTGACCTCAGAGCCCTTTTAAGACGCCATCTCCTTAAGCCATAAAATTCTACTTTATTGTTGATAAACAGATATTTTATCAACTTTATTGCTGATAATCCTTTCTGGGGAAGGAGCCTGGCCTTATAGAAGTATGGTGCCCAGCAGAAAACCAGGTACCAGTCCCCCCGCACAGTGGCCTTTATCCCAACCTCAGTGGACTTGTGACGCTTTTACTTCATTGCTTCAAAACTTTCATCGAGGCTATATGTGCCTGTGATGCTTACTATTTTTTTTTTTCCCAAAAAATCGTTGGGTTATGAGGAAGAAGTCCTGTAGGGCTGTTGGTGTTTGCACCTGGATGGGGTCATGAATGGGGCTACATGGAGGAGCTGTTGTGCTGAAAGGCCCATCGCCCCTTCCAAGGCTGCCTCTTGCTCTTTTTGAGAGCATGTGCGCCCTCTGCTGGCTGCTCAAAGGAATACCTAGAAGAACACCTGTAGCAGTGGCACATGTGTTCCTCAACTGGTTCATCCATCCATCTATCCATCCTTCCTTCCATCCAGCCATCATCTATCCATCCTCCCATCCATCCTTCCTTCCATCCAGCCATCATCTATCCATCCTTCCCTCCAGCCACCATTCGTCCATCCTTCCATCCATCCATCCTTCCTTCCATCCAGCCACCATCTGTCCGTCCTTCCATCCTTCCTTCCATCCAGCCACCATCTGTCCATCCTTTCCTTCAGCCATGCTCCCTTCTATCCATCCTTCTGCCCACCCTTTCTTCCTTCAATCCATCTTTTAATCTATCCATCCATCTGACACCCTTTATTTAACAGGCATGTGGTTAAGCACTGTGAGGATACAGAAAGATAAACAGGACAGGGTTTCTACTGTCAGAAGATATGCATTGATGGGACAGAGTAGCACCCCTGTCTGTTACAGTCTGTTACATAAATAACACTAGCAGACATAGTTTGCCCTTCTCTGAGTGAAAGTGCTCTTCATATGTTTATTCATTCATACATGCATTTATTCCATTCATTCATTTATCAAACAGTTTTTATATGCCCAAAAAGGCAAAGGAGGAAAAAGTTCCTTTTTTCATTTTGAATGTTAGTATCTGACATTCATTCAGTACTTACTATGTCTCAGGTCATTTATATGCATTAACTTCATTTAGTCCTTAATAAGGTATGTGCTCTTAATGTCACTATTTTACTAATGAGGAAACTAAGGCTTTGAAAAGTTATTAAAATTGCCCAAGCCATACTGCTAGTAAATGGTAGGGTGGGAATTTGAGCTAAGGTAGGTCTGCTTTAAGGTAAATTATACTGCCTGTCATCAGTAAAGGCTGAATTTATTCAAAATCTAATCAAAAGGTAAATTGTATCCTACCAGAAAAACGCATGGTAATTGGGTTTGACTACTAGGTTTTTGCTGAAGTGATGAAGTATATGTTCCTCTATGTGCTATAAACAAGTCTTGTTTTAATAGGGAGCTGGGACTGCATGAAACATGGATCCTCAAAATGTGTAAAATGATGGATACCCAGAAAATTCTTCTTAATTTCTAAAGTGACAAGGAGTCCTCATTTCAAAACTGCAGGCTTCTCTGTGGTGGGTGGGGCATGAGAGGAGTTTGGGGAGGTCCCGTGGGATGGAGAAAGATCAGAACCCAGCCCCAGCTCAGCCATCTGCCCATCTCGGGCCTCTGGTAAGTGGCTCGACCCCACCCGTGAAGCAGACGTGTGAGCGAACTGATCCATAAGTCTCCCCAGCACGCCTGCAGGGTGGGATCCTCGCCTGCCTCTCCAAACCTGCGCTGACACTCAGCAGATGTCAGCCTGTCGGTCCCGTACTGCATATGAGGTGGGACTGCACTGAGTATAGGAATGGGGTGAAAAACATCAGAGGCTGGGAGCCAGAGAGCCTTCCCCCTAAAGAACTGCAAGCTAAGGGCCTGAGGGACTGGAACAGCACGTTGAATTTACACATTTAGTTTATCTGAATCTTTCAAACATTTTATGTAGCTAACAAGGCAGACTTATAAACCTAAGAAGTAAAATCTTTCTAAGCACCTAAACAACTGTTTTACTTTTATTTATTCATTCATATTTTGAGACAGAGTCTCTCTCTGTCACCCAGGCTGGAGGCGCAGTCTCGGCTCACTGCAACTTCCGCCTCCCAGGTTCAAGCGATTCTCCAGCCTCAGCCTCCTGAATAACTGGGATTACAGGCATGCACCACCACGCCCGGAAAATTTTTGTATTTTTAGTAGAGATGGAGTTTCACCATATTGGCCAGGCTGGTTTCAAGCTCCTGGCCTCAAGTGATCTGCCCGCCTTGGCCTCCAAAAATGCTGTAATACAGGCATGAGCCGCAGCGCCTGGCGTAAACAACTGTTTTAAATCAAATACACCAAACTTATTTGAACTAAATCAGGATTCTCAATAACACCCCAAATTCTCTTAAATCTTTCAAACTAAAACCACCAAGCTAATATACCGTGGACTTTTAAATGTCTCTGAGACATCTTAGGTAACAAAACACAGAGATGATCATGATGATCATAAAACTTGAACATAATATTAAAGTGCATGGACTTGATGTTATGCGATCATATCCATGCTTATTGGCCTGCCTGGGAATGTGGTCCCTTAATTAACGAGAGAGATCTGCCCTATCAGCTGAGAGCACTGGGTGGAAGACTCTCAACAGCAGCGTGGGTACAGGCACTAGTCACTAGTCAGAGATTCAAGGGCAAATACAAAGCCTGGTCGTACTGCGGGGGCAATGCAGCCCAGGCCACAGGGGAGCCATCGCCTGCCCCATTATCATGATGCAATGTTATCATTACTGCATCATGCGTTCCACTCACCAGGTATCGCTCCCTTCTAGTAAGCCAACCTAGACTCTAAACAAGTACATCACATTATTTAGAGAACATCTGGGTCTAAACAGCTTTCACACTGTTAGGCCTCAGTCACTTGCCTGTAACCTTCATGAAGGCAGAGAGTGTCTCCAGCCCCTGGCTCTGTGGCCAGTGCCTTGCACTGAGCTTGGGGCATCACAGGTGCTTCATGTTCACCAGTGGAGTAAATGAACTATTTCTAGGCAGCTCAGAGCAAGAAAGTTCTTACTGGGCACAGGGAATGCAAAGAAGGTGCACACTGGCGAGGTACCCATGACCCCTACTTCACCAGCGTTTCTGTTCTCCCAGATGTTCCTGCAGCAGCCAGCTGTATCCCTGAGCTTCAGCAGCACCCAGCGACCCGAGGCTCAGCAGCAGCTACAGCAAAGGTCAGCCGCAGTGACTCAGCCCCAGCTCGGGACGGGCCCCCAACTTCCAGGGCAGATCTCCTCTGCCCAGGTCACAAGCCAGCACCTGCTCAGAGAATCAAGTGTGATATCAACCCAGGTAAATGTGCCCTTGCCAGCTTCACTCGTTGCCTCTAGAGCAGACACTCTCCTGCAGTTTGGGACATAGTTGATTGCTGCAGCCTGCATGAACTGAGGCCTGCTGCCCTGTTCCCTTATGGACTGCGGGTAGATTTGGGAGTGAGCCTTCTTCTCCTTCTTCTGTTAAAGTCACTTTGAAACCCCAAGTTGTATTGGCTTCCTTCTGTGTTTTATCAACGCCCACCTCAGTCCCTTGCCCTTGTGCTTAAAGATACCATTCAGCTGAAACGTTCCCCTTGGATGCTGACTTAGGGTTGGAGGCAGATATGGCCATCCCAGAGACCCACTGGCAGCTGAATGTCCCAACACTCAACATCCACAGTCCTCGCCATCTACTCTGGTTTTAACCATTACCCATGTGAGCAGCCACTGCTGTTCACTGTCCCTTGTCCCAGGCAGCCCCTGCTCCTCCAGGTGCCCCCTGCTCCTCCAGGCCCCTACTGCTCCCTCTAGGCCTCCCTGCCCCTCCAGGCACCCCTTGATCCTCCAGGCATCCCCTGCTCCTCCAGGCTCCCACTGCTCCCTCTAGGCCTCCCTGCCCCTCCAGGCCTCCCTGCTCCTCCAGGCCCCCCAGACTATTTGCCAAACCCTTGCAGCCATTTCCACCTATTCCAAGCCACCAGTGACCTTGCAGTTGGACGAAATTGCCAGCAGATAAATTGCATTCAAACTGAATGGAATAGAGAAGTCTGGAGCAGGGCTCCTGGAGGATGACAGATGGGAAGGCAGCCTTTCCTCCAGCCTCACATTCCCATGCCCTCGTGGCTTTGGTAAACGTCAGCTGAGCTCCTGAGTTCACCAAGACCCAGGGAACAGTGATGAGCAAGAGCTCTCTGGGCCTCAAGGAGCTTGCAGTTCAGTAGAGAATCTGGGAACTTAGATAACCTGCAGCACAATACGGATAAGGACACATGTGGAAGTGTTTAGGCCATCTTTCTTCAAATGTAAGGGTTTTGCTTGAAAATGCAGCCTTTTGATTTAAAAGGTCATCAGAAAAATAGGTGAGAAGAGCTAAGAAAATTTTGGAACACAGAAAACTGAGGAAGGATTTATACTGTCTGATATTGGAAAATTTTGTAAAAACTTTAAGAATGAGAGCACTGTGTTATCAGATGAATGGACAATCAGTGAAATAGAGAACCCAAAGCAGGTACAGGCCCACTTCGTCACTCCTTTATTACTTCACTCAGCTCACTGTGTGCCAGGCACGAAATTCTGAGCACTGAGGGAAAGCAGTGAACAAAAAAGAAAAGAAAAAAGAATCTCTGTTCCAAGTGAGGAAACAGACAAACATATGAAAATTAGAGTATGTCCAACGGTACAGGAATGCTGGTGAGGGCCGGGAATGGGCTGGAGGTGTAAAGAGGTAGCCAGGTAAGGCCTTGTGAAGAAGATCATATTTGAGTCAAGACCTGAGGGGGTGAAAGAATGAGCCAGTCAATGTCAGGGGAAGAGCATTCCACAGAGCAGTCAGCTTGTGCAAAGGCCCAGGGCAGGAGTAGGCCTGGTGAGCTGGAGAAACAGCCAGGAGGGCCACATGTCTGCAGTAGGATTTGAAGCAGAAAGTAGATCCGTTCGAGGCACATTGGCTACTTGCCTGCCTGGAGTCCGGCATTGTCCTAGGCCCAGGGGATTCAAATACAGTCCAACAGGGAAGACAGTCACAAGATCAAAGTAATTCAGTAGCTGGGAGGTTCTGATGTAGAGGAAAGGCAAGGGTAGGTAGAAGGAGGAGACACTGCGAGGTTTCCTGGAGAGATGGCCCCAGGGTTGCGTCCAAGTCTTACCTTTCTCATTGAAATGATGCTCCAGGGTCCAAAGCCAATGAGAAGCTCACAGCTAATGCAGAGCAGCGGCCGCTCTGGGAGCAGCCTAGTGTCCCCGTTCAGCAGCGCCACAGCTGTGCTCCCGCCAAGTCTGAATCTGACCACACCTGCTTCCACCTCCCAGGATGCCAGCCAGTGCCAGCCCAGCCCAGACTTCAGCCATGATCGGCAGCTCAGGTACGAGACTGCCCTTGTTTGAAGGATAACCCAGGCATCATTTTACCCCATTCATTTCAGCTTTCTGCTTTAGACGGAGGCAGAGTTCAGACAGATTGTAAAGTGTCCACAGTTGATCTCAGCTAAGGAAGCAGAGGACAGGGCTTGGGGTCCTGAGGTCCAGAGGAAGTTACCCACTGCGTCCATCATCCTCTGAGAATGAAGCCAGGGGAGTGGGGATTAGGGTCAACCATAAAGGGTCCAGGCAGGCTGAGCAAGTGCTGCCACGACCAGTGGGTCTGTGGTTCAGGTGCTGATCAGTTTCCTATTTCCCCACCTCTGCTTAAAGGCTGTTGCTGAGCCAGCCCATCCAGCCCATGATGCCCGGGTCCTGTGACGCAAGGCAGCCCTCGGAGGTCAGCAGGACGGGACGGCAAGTCAAGTACGTGGACCCTGGCGGGAGGCGGGAGGCAGGAGGCAAGCGCTAGCGGAATGGTTCCAGGCTGGCCAGCCTCACCCGCCTGGGCCAGCAGCACTCACATGAGCCTTGCACTAAAGGCAGGGTCTGAGTGTGCCCACAGCTGTGAAGGGGACACTGCCCCTCAGCTTTTCTTCTACCGTGTCCCATTTAAGCAGAAAAAACTCAGCGCTCCATGCTTAGAGCAGCACTGAATGAAACAATTCACACCCCACCATTTGCCATCATCTTCCGACTTCCTTACAGGTCTGAAGCCCTCACCCCTGGAGACATCCCTGGAGGGTGTAGCGCCATCCCCCTTCTCAAGGACCCTCCCCCAGGCTCCAGCTGACATTCCGCAGGCACACTTGGTGCTCCCTGCTTCTGGCACTGTCCTTGGGCCCTTCCCTCCCAGACGAGCAGCCCCGGCTCTCCCTTCTCCACCCTCCTCTCCACTAGCACTCGCAGGACCAGAGCAGCTTTACTCAGCTACTTAATTCCTAGGGACAACGGTTACTGGAGACACGGGGAGAATAGTTTAAAAGTTGCTGGAAAACAGTTTCTGGCCCTTGGGAATGAGGCAGAAATAGAGCTATCACACAGACATCTGCTTCATATTAACACTGGCTGACTTCGTGTCCAGAGCTCACCAGGACGGTGCTAGCCAATCAGGCCTGGGATGCCCTCATGTAGAGGCCTCGCAGGCACCCCCAGGCCCCTCTCCCTAGAAGTCCTTCTTCTGTGCCCTCCTTCAGCCAGCACTGAGAGTAACGGCAGATGGTTACTGCCTTTCTGAGGGTCAGGGTCTGTATGTTCATTATTTCATTTCATCCCGATAAAATCCCCAGGGTGTAGGCACATGCTTGTTTTTTGTTTTTGTTTTTTTAAACCAGTGAAGAGGCTGGGCTTTCAAGGGGTTAGATTACATTCTCGAAGGCCACACAGCGCAGATGGTGGGGCCAGAGGCCAGCTAACTCCAGGCCACAGGCCCTTTGGCTCCCTGAATCTTCAAAGTCCACCTTGTTGGCCCTGCCTGGGTCTCCCCACACCTCAGGATACCTTTCTAGGCAGCCTCTGCCCCTGAGACTTTCTGGCCCTCCTTTTGGTCACAGGAGGGTAAGGAGGGACCTGCAGGTGGTGGGGAGCTGTCTGTAAAGTTCCGTTCATGTCTATCATTAGGTGGCGGGAAGTGGGCTAGTTTTGCTTTCGGATTTTACCTGTTCTTCCTAAAGGATCTAAATAAGTGGAAACAGGCCGGGCGCAGTGGCTCATGTCTGTAATCCCAGCACTTTGGGAGGCCAAGGTGGGCGGATCACCTGAGGTCAGAAGTTCAAGACCGGTCTGGCCAACATGGTGAAACCCCATCTCTACTATAAATACAAAAATTAGCTGGGCATGATGGCACGTGCCTGTAATCCCAGCTACTCAGGAGGCTGAGGCAGGAGAATCACTTGAACCAGGGAGGTGGAGGTTGCAGTGAGCTGAGATTGTGCCACTGCACTCCAACCTGGGCAACAGAGCGGGACTGTCTCAAAAAAAAGAAAAAAAGAAGAGAAAATGGAAGCAAATATTCTTGTTACATCACTTTCCAGAGATGCTTAAAATGCCATGAACTAGGCACGTATGGAAAGTTTTTCCTCTGGGAACTCTAACTGCCATTTTTAGTCAAATCGATAATTTATACCCTCCCCATCTCCCTGACTGTCTCTTCCAGACATGACCTAATGGTCCACCCTCCAGGGCGTGTCAGGATCTGCCTCCCACACACACAGATGCCTCCTCAGGGAAAGTCTGGAACACTGCCTGTCACAGATGACCCCAGGCAGCGAAATCACACCTCCAAAAGTATCACGCAAAGCAGACTTCTCTCCAGTCTCTTTAGACATTTGCTCCTGTCCATAATCCCAGATTGTTCCTAAGTGGCCTTTCTCTGCTCCTTGTTAGTGGACCATTATCATCACCATCTCTTTCTTTTTTAAAAAATGTTTTGTTTTGTTTTTTGAGATGGAGTCTTGCTCTGTCACCCAGACTGGAGTGCAGTGGTGCGATCTTGGCTCACTGCAACCTCTGCCTCCCAGGTTCAAGCAATTCTCCTGCCTCAGCCTCCCAAGAAGCTTGGATTACAGGCCTGTGCCACCATGCCTGGCTAATTTTTGTATTTTTAGTAGAGACGGGGTTTCACCATGTTGGCCAAGCTGATCTTGAACTCCTGACGTCAAGTGATCCATCTGCCTTGGCCTCCCAAAGTGCTGGGACTACAGGCATGGGCCACCACACCTGGCCTAAGAATGTTTTATTATGGCAAAATATACATAATTTTACTATTTTAACCATTTTTAAGGGTGTAGTTCCATGGCATTAAGTACATTCACACAGTTGTGTGACCATCGCCACCATCCAGTTCCAGAACTTTGTCACCTTTTCAAACTGAAATCCTGTACCCATTAGACACCCACTCCCAATACCCCTTCCCCCTAGCCCCTGGCAGCCACCATCCTACCTTCTGTCCCTAAGAATTTGACAACTCCAGAGCCCTCATATAAGAGGAATCACACAACATTTGTCATTTTGTGACTGGCTTATTCCACTTTGCATAATGTCTTCAGGGTTCATTTACGTTGTAGCATGTGTGAGAATTTCCTTCCTTTCCAAGGTTGAATAATATTTCACTGTATGGACAAACCACTTTTTTAATCCATTCATCTCTCAGTGGACCCTTGGATTGTTTCTACCTTTTGGTTATTGTGAATAATAGTTTATAATAATTGTTTATTATATAGTGGTTTATTCACAATAAACCAAAATATGATTATACACATCCATGGATGTACAATTGTCTTTTTCAGGTTCCTGCTTTTACTTCTTTTGGGTATACCCAGAAATGGAATTGCAGGATCATATGGTAGAATGGTCATTGTGTGTGTTTAATTTTTTGAATAATTATCATACATTCATATTAGTCCATTCTCACACTGCTATAAAGACATGCATGAGCCTGAGTAATGTATAAAGAAAAGAGGTTTAATTCGCTCACCATTGCGCAGGCTGTACAGGCTTCTGCTTCTGGGAAGCCTCAGGAAATTTACAATCATGGCAGAAGGTGAAGCAGCAGCATGGCTGGGAGGAGAGAGAGAAAGAGGGGGAGGGGCTACACACTTTTAAACAAACAGATCTAGGGAGAACTCTGTCACAAGACCAGCAAGGGGGAGGTCCCCACCCACGATCAATCACCTCCCAGCAGGCCTCACCTCCAACACTAGGGATTACAATTCAACATGAGATTTGGGTGGGGACACAGAGCCAACATTTAACACAGTGGCTGCAGCATTTGACAATTCCCAGCAACAGAGCACTAAAGTTCCAATGTCTGCATCCTCAGCAACACCTGTTACTTCCTGGTTTTTTGATAATCACCATTGTAATGAGTGTGAAGGGACATCTCATTTTGGTTTTGATCTGTTTTGCCCTAATGGCTAGTGATGCTGAGCATGTTTTCATGTGTGTGTTGGCCATTTCTAGCTTCTCTTTGGAGATATGTCAGCCCCATGCCCGTTTTTTGATTGGGTTGTTTGGGTTTCTTGTTGTGGAGTTGTAGGCATTCTTTATATATTGTGGTATCCGTCTCTTATTAGATATGTGATATGCAAATGTCTTCCCCCACCCCATGGGCTGCCTCTTCCCTCTGTTGATAGTGTTGATAGTGTCTTTTGATGCAAAAAAGTTTCCTTTTTTTTCTTCTTTAAGACGGAGTCTCACTCTGTTGCCCAGGCTGGAGTGCCATGGCGTGATCTCTGCTCACCACAACCTCCACCTCCCGGGTTCAAGCTATTCTCTTGCCTCAGCCACCCGAGTAGCTGGGACTGCAGACACCCACCACACGTGGCTAATTTTTGTATTTTTAGTAGAGACGGTGTTTCACCACATTGGTCAGGCTGGTCTCGATCTCCTGACCTTGTGATCTTCCCGCCTCAGCCTCCCAAAGTGCTAGGATTACAGGCATGAACCACTGCGCCTGGCCAAAAGTTTCTTATGAAGTCCAACTTACTTGTTTTTTTCTTTGTTGCTCATGCTTTGGGTGTCATATCAATACTGCTTTCTTAAAGGACCTGTTTTCTCCTTCCCACATGAAACAGGTACGCACAGAGCCAGACCGTGTTTCCAAATCCAGATGCACACCCCGTCAACAGCAGCAGCGCCCCGATGCCCGTCCTGCTGATGGGGCAGGCAGTGCTCCACCCCAGCTTCCCCGCCTCCCAACCGTCACCCCTGCAGCCCGCACAGGCCCGGCAGCAGCCACCACAGCACTACCTGCAGGTGGGTGCCACGGCCCAGGGGGCCCCCGCGCAGGCCTGGGATCCGGGCCACACTCCGCACCCCGAGTCTCAAAGATATTCCCTTGCTTTCAAGGTTGTTCTATCCCTAGTATAGAAGTAAGCCCCAGAAAGATTCTCAGATTGTTTTTCATGCTTAAAGGTTATGAAGTCTATGTCTACGGAGTATGTGAAATTACGAGTCGGCTCTTATGCCTTATGTGATTATGTGCTGAAAAGGTTCCTTTTTAAAAAAGTAGTTTTTACTCAAGGATTTGCATCTAGACATGTTCATAGTTTTTAGAGCAGAAGTCAAAAAACATTGATGACTATGTTGGACTTTTCAGTGTGTTTATAGAGTCCTATATAAACATAAAGTGAAATCACATTTAGTTAAAGATCCATTAACCTGCCTTAGTAAATATAGTGATGTGTGAAATTGGACTTGCCAGGAAAATTTGGAGCTCATTTACATGTGGTCACTACTTAGAAGGCAAAAATCACTTCAGGCAAGTGCCAAGTATGCCAAAAGCAGGGAGGGTGAGAGCCACTGGTCTGCAGGTTCACGTGGGAGCCACACGTCTGCGTCTGCCAAGCTCCAGAAGGGCCTGGCCTTCCCTTGCCCATGTGCAGGGTGCCCCTCTTCACCCAGCCCTTCTGTGTCCTAGGGGGCTTCCCCCCTGGCCTGCAGCTCCACCTGCACCTGCAAAGCCATGGAGAATGAGCAGAGGCTGAGTCCTCTTGAGTACTGTAGATAGCGATGAAGATAGCTGTCCTTGAAGTTCTAGAATGTAGTTTAATTCCAATGCTGCTAAGCCATCTGTGCTGTAATTTTCGGATCTCCCTGACCCCATGCATAGTGGGAGTCAACTCAGACTTTGGCTTTGCAGATCTTGTCAGTTCTCGAGACCCAGAAGTGATTTTGGATGGGAAATGAGCAACAGACAAGTTTGCACAACCTGTTGCATACAGGAAGCAGGCTATGAATACAGAGAGCTCTTTGGCCCACTCACTGCCCTTAGGGGCCTCGGGGTGGGGTGCAGAAGGTGGGTTAGCACAGAGTGCAGTCAGGCTCGGATTTGGGAAGAGTGGGAGTGCTGTGGTGGGGAAGCCTTCGTGGAGGAAGGGACTTGAGAAGAGGCAGGGCTCAGAAAGCATCCACTGCTGAGTCTGATGTCCAGGAAATACCTGAAGTGTGGGTGAGGGTGAAGATAAAGGGACCGTGTTCCAGCCAGACAGCCTGAGCACAAGTTCAGGGCAGCTGTGCCTGGGCAGCTGTGAGAGCAGGGGGGTGCTGGGTTACTTGCAGGAGGAGATTTCATGGAAGGGAATAGTGGGTGGTAAGATTGAAGTTTCCAAAGTCAGGCTTTGGCCAGTCAAAGCTTCTAAACTTCCAATCAAGATGCTCCTAGTAGGTGCTGGTGAATCTGGAGGTAGCTACGGTATCAGGGACCAGCAGTGAAAAGTGTGCAAACTGTATGTGTGTTGGGATTCTGCCCTGTCAACTATCTGCATGTGGCCTCAGGTTCCATCATCCAAAAACATTCTGGCTATAATGCAGATCATGTGCACGTGTTTATGAAACCATTCCCCACAGCCACAGGCCTAGGCTGATTGGGCCAGAAGGTGCCCCCGCTATTGGCGGAGAAGTTGGCTTCAGAATTCACCCTAAGGTTCCTTTCGTCCCCATCCCCACCCCACCCCCAGGTCTTGCCAAAGCCACCTCTCCCCACATGACTCCCCAAGAAAGACAGCCCTATAGTCTAACTCAATCTGCAGCATGCCCCACACTGCCCTGTAAGACAGTTGAGGGGCAGACATCAGAACCACCTCTGAAGCCCTTTGTTCTTTTTTTTCTAGGTACAGGCACCAACCTCTTTGCACAGTGAGCAGCAGGACTCACTACTTCTCTCCACCTACTCACAACAGCCAGGGACCCTGGGCTACCCCCAACCACCCCCAGCACAGCCCCAGCCCCTACGTCCTCCCCGAAGGGTCAGCAGTCTGTCTGAGTCATCAGGCCTCCAGCAGCCGCCCCGATAGTGCCCCGGCACTGAAGTCGGGACACAATCAGCTTTAACCAATGGATGAGGGGGGTGGCCACAGGAGATGGGGAGAGGAGTCTGAACTAAACCCCTGGCTTTTGTGCACACTGCGTACATTTCAGATCTCCTGGATGGTAACCATCTCTGGAGCGCAGTGCTTGCTGCAGTGGAAATGATCAGGAATACTGACGGTGTTTCTCTTGCCTCCGAGGTTCTTGGGCACACTCTATAGCCATACTGGACAGGAACCAGGTGCCCCGTGTAGGCGTCGTTGGTCGGTTTACCTTCAGAGATGGCGCATCTCGCTGCATCCCCCGAGAGTGCACTGGTTGCCCTAGCCACCTGCGGCCCGCCCATCTGCGCTAGCTGGCCTTCACTCTCTTGATCGTCTTTCCTTTGTATTGGAGAAGGACTGGGTCAGAGATCTGTTGGAGAGAGAGAATAAAGAGATTATTTTTCATTATTTTTAAATGGTTGTTTTTGTTTTAATTTGCACAGCTGCACAGAGGAAATAACTTAGGCACTTTCTGTTTTTTTAAAAAATAATAAGGTCTCATGGCTTCGTTCAGAGACCACAGTAACAACAACAACAGCCCACCAATCAGAGAAGCTGGTTGTTAGTAACCAAGCTACAGATTCACACTTTCTGGCCTGAACCCTAATGGGATGAGGCTTTTCACCCCATGCCATGCTGGTGGTGATTTTTTTAGCCCCTAAATAAAACACTGGACTGTTTCCTGTTTACTTCATTGATTGCAACTACAAAGGTGGACTCAAAGCAAAGCACAATCATGCCAGCTTTTGTGCACACTGCATACGTTTCAGATCTCCTGGATGGTAACCATCTCTGGAGTTCAACATTCCAGAATTCTGCTGAGAACTCCAAGCCTGTGAGGGGAGAGGTTTCACAAGCCAGACAGGCCTGGGGGACTGCAGTCCCCAAGGAGACCCCGCCATGTGCTGGCCCTTTGAGTGAGAATGCTGCATCTTTCTACATATCTTCATGAGAATACTGAGAATTGGATTTTCCTTTTCAAAATGCACTTTGCTTTTTTTGTATGTTTTGTTGAGATGTTTCTAAAGAAAAGATTTTATGTAATTATAAGATGAAGCGTAGTGAATTGTACAGTCGTTGTAATAATGACCTATTTCTATATAAAATAAAATTGTATGGCTTATGTGTAAATTATTTTGTATCTGAGATACCAGTTCCTTTCCCAAATATAAAAGTATAAAAGTTTTCTGGTGTTTTTCTGTGAGTGAAAATTTTGTAATAAATTAACAAATTTGTACAATTTCCTCTGTCCCTTGTTATACATCCCTGCCTACATCTTTTCACCAGTAATTCTTTTTTTCTAATTTCAAGATGTTTCAAGGATAATCAAAGATATGGAAAAGATGAAAGCAAGCAATCAGTAAGTCAGGCAGAGGCGTTCAGCTTTTTGAGCTGCAGTATTTGCATCGGCCTGTCAGGTTCTGATCTTTGTATTAAAGTTTGTGCCAGAAAAACAATAGTTTACTGTAGAAATGACAGCAAAACAAAACAGAAAAAAAAAAAGGTTTCTGGAAACATCCCAATCTTTTTTTTTCTTTCTTTTAGACAGAGTCTCTCTCTCTTTCCCAGATTGGAGTGCAGTGGCACCATCTCAGCTCAATGTAACCTCTGCCTCCTGGTTCAAGTGATTCTCCTGCCTCAGCCTCCTGAGTAACTGGGATTACAGGCACCCACCACCATACCCTGCTAATTTCTGTGTTTTTAGTGGAGATGGGGTTTCGCCATATTGGCCAGGCTGGTCTCGAACTCTGGACCTCAAGTGATCAGCCCACCTCGGCCGACCAAAGCGCTGGGATTACAGGCATGAGCCACCATGCCCCGCCAACATCTTAATCTTGACACAGGTAAAATCCATGGAGGCGACCAAGACATTCTCCACCAAAGCTCTCATTTATAGCCCATCATTAAACTCACTCAGCTGGAACTGCATGGGGTTTCTCCACCAACATTTAGATCTCAGTGATGTGGGCAGCATATGTGTGTCTCCATATAAGATGTGTACACATATGCCATGCTGAGGGTGGGGGCATAGCCGCAGCATCTAGAAGATTTCTGCCAATTACAGACAGCCACCCCACCATGAGGCTTCATGGGGCTAAAGGAGGGTACCCTGGTGTACTGTGGTTGAGAACCACTGCAATGGCAATGCCCTTTCCAAAAGCATCGGCCCAAGAGAGCAAAGTTCTTTCCCTGCTGCACTGCTATGGCTCTCTGCTCCTACTCCTGCTGTGTAGAATGCGGATGGCTCTTCCCAGTTCTATGACTAGGATCGGTTTTGGATGGCAGAGAGGGTGCCGTATAAGTACATCCAAAAAGTTTTACTATGCATACAATTGTTCTAATCCTGAGAAGAAGGTAAGTGAAAATATTTTGCGCACACTAGAACACTTACTCTTTCAAAGAACCAGAAATGAACCCCCTTCTTAAAAATGCTGTTTGAAACTGGATTCACTATTTTTACGTGTTTTATAAATGCAAAGGTTTCTAGATCTGATTTGTCTGTAAAAGAATTTGTATTTTAATTTGCTGTCAGCATTTTTTTAAGCAGAACAATATTTTTAATGGACAGCATATTTATCGTCCTAGGATTTTCTAGCTGGAAGTCATTTAAAAAGGGCAGAGTGTGCCTTGCTACTAATTTAATTTAGCTTTGCTTAAATCTTACACGTGTTCGGAATTTGGATAAACTCAGAAAACTCTTATTGTGTAATATTTCTTTAAACCCACATTCATCATGGGAATTTTAATCCCTAAACTTTTGATTCATTAAAGTTTGCTCATTAAAAGGCTATTTTGCAACGCTGTCCTATTTCCAGAAAGACCATGACCTTTCTATTCGGAAAACTATAAAGTCTTGGCTCATGTGAAATGACTGAAATGTGAACTCGGAGTACACTAAGTTTATGATCTTTTCAACTAAGTTAAAATGTCTCTACTGTCTCTAATTCAACTAAAATTCATGACATTAATTTTAAAATGTTGTTTGTGCATGCAACATGGGGAACTAGCCAACTGTTCTAAGCCATGACATTTCACACTCTTGTCTAAATTACCTGGCAACATTTGTTTTGGTACAAGACTGCTCTGGTTTCCTTCTTCACTTTGTGTAGGCACAGCCTGAAGGTCTCCAAGTCTGCCATTATTGTCCCAGAGAAATAACTAATTTGCATCCTCTAGGGACACCTGTTAGCAGCTTTTTGGGCAGACATGCATGAATTTCATACTATGCATACAAACAGCTTTATTTTTCTGGAGAAAAAAGCTCATTGGACACACAAAAAAGAACAGAACTCTTGTAGGATTTTTGCCTCACCACACTTAGGCGCATCTATGATATTGACTCATTTTTAAATTATAATTACCTTTTTTATATGTCATGTTTTATTTTAAGCATGAAGACAGGAACTCGTGGCCTTTTATGAACTCAACTTTTCTAATTGACCATTGTTATTTATTTCATGCTCAAATTGGTACAACCCGGCCAGTGAGAGCCGGCTCCTATGTTTGGCTCTTTTCTCTTTGTAGCATTACCCGTCAGAAATCAGACTCCAGATTTCCTTCTGGGAACAATACTGTCAAGGCCCATACTGATTGACTGATATTTTTATTTTTCCTATCTCAAGGCATGGAGACAACTACCTCCAAGGAGTCCTGATTCCTTTTAGTTAAAAAAAAAAAAAAAAAAAAAAAGATTAAAATCTAGACGCCTAGAGTAAGACTAAGAGCTGGTATTGGGTCAAGTGCTGCCTCTGTTGCTATTACTGGGTCATCCTGTTGTGATGGAGCTGAAAACATTTCCAGTCATGAAATCACATTGATTTCTGCAATGTAATATATATTATACTGTAGTCTACTTTTCTAATGTGATTTTGTTCAGCATTTTCTCCTAAACTGACATTCCATATGAAGTCAGTTATGAACTGTTGATTTTCATTTCAAATACCTCCTGTGCCATTCCTCTCCTCTCTGTCATATTAGTTGCTGCCTCATTTGGGCCCCATTTAAGCTGGGTCACAGAAACAGCCTCCATACTGACCTCCCAGGCCTGGGCTACCCACACTACCTCTTTAGCACCTCTTCACCACCACGCCTCTTTCCTTTTAAAAATCTTTCGGCGGTGCTTCTTGGAAAGTTCCACTGGACCTTTCTGGAGCTCAGTCCAGCATGAAACTGCCAAGGAGGACTCCTCTAGCCCCTTAGATTTGTCGCCCCTAAAGCTGGTGGACGGGAATGCAACCTGTCTACTTTCTTGCTGCCCCCACAGGGAAGCATTCAGATCTTGTTTCATTTTAAGGATTCTCTGCTAATCAGTAAAAGTAAAAACATGTGAGTGATTAGCCCAGCTAACAAACACCAGAGAGTTACAAAGTTCATATTATGTGGTTCTGGTCTCTTTGAGGCCCAGCAGTCACTGGCCTGGTCCCTGGGGCTTGGGAGGGAAAGAGAAGCCGGAAGTGTCTGCAGAACTCCAGGCAGGCAAATGATCTTCAGTCCACAAATCTAACAGTCCTTATTATACCTCTGTTCAACCTTTATGTGAGGCAGGAGAGTTGACATCTTAGAGGGACGTTTTGTAGATTCCCACTGAAGGGGTCTATTTATTTCAACAAGAGGTAGGATCTACTCACATTTTATCAGTTATATGGAAACTTGAGTCAGTTGGCACCAGACTTCTGATTTATTACAGTAACACTTTTATTACCTCTAACGGATGGTACCCTAGAAAGCTGTCCCTTAATCCCTCTCTAGGTGCTGGGATAGAAGGGGCAAGATCCCATCTTCAGAGAGTGACTGCAGGGAGCCAGGATCAGAACAATGATCTGAAAAGGGCCCTGAGGTATGAAAGGCCTGAGGCAGGCTTTAGGGTGCCTGAGCAAGAGGAAGAGGAGGCGGAAAGGAGATGAGAGCAAGCATCATTGGGTTGAAACAAATTGTGCTAGCCCCTCTTCTTCCTTGTTAACAGAACCCCACTTCCGTGCATTAAAAGCAATGTGTTTAGCCTGTAATCCTAGCACTTTGGGAGGCCGAGGCGGGCGGATCACAAGGTCAGGAGATCGAGACCATCCTGGCTAACATGGTGAAAACCTGTCTCCACTAAAAATACAAAAAATTAGCCAGGCGTGGTGGCAGGTGCCTTGTAGTTCCAGCTACTTGGGAGGCTGAGGCAGAAGAATGGTGTGAACCCGGTAGGTGGAGCTTGCAGTGAGCCGAGATCACGCCACAGCACTCTAGCCTGGGTGACAGAGAGAGACTCCGCCTCAAAACACACACACACACACACACACACACACAAAAACAAAAACCAAACAAAAGCAATGTGTCTAGCCCAGCCCAAAAAATACACAACTCATCATTAGGCCAAGGTAATGATGACAATCCCATTTGCTTTTGGCAGGTATGTGCTCTCCCAGCCTAACTGAAACGGAGTCCCTAGTTCTAGCCAATGACAGGCAGAAAGCGACTGGAGGTTTCTGGAAAGGCCTTTGGAGTCTGATAAGAGGCATTGGGGGAGGCTTGCTTGTCCAACACCATCTCTTGCCTTTGAGGACTGCTGGGAAACCTACAAGTACAACATCTACCTTGATACAGGATGCAAAGGTTCCTCATGAGATCAGAGTCCCTGTTCCAGCCCAGAAATTGCCTGCCTCCAGTCTTGTCTGTGAGGTCCTGAAACATGTCCACTGCTGAAAACTCTGTTAGTAGGTTAGGGGTGACTCAGTCCGGGCATTTTCCTGTTCACCAAAGTGCCAGGCATTAAGTGGACCCTTTCAGCTTGGGACATCAAGCTCTTTCGTCCTGAGAAATTTCCCTTAAATTCAAGGTACCATCATCATGAAGTTTCACAACTTTAAAGAGAAGATCCTAAAATCTTTCAGAGAGAAAAAAATAAAGCATCACTTCTCAACCACACCGAAAAATGGAAGACAATGAAACCTGCCTTCAAAATGCTGGGGAGAAATTCTTTTCAATTTAGAATTCCATATAAGCCAGAATTTAAATTTGAGGGTTGAATAAATTCTCAGATATCTGAGGGCTCAGAAACTTTTTAGCTTGTGTACTCATCTTACGAAACCACTAAAAATGGTGCGCTCCTGTGAAAGAAGGGAGTTTGTCAAGAAAAAGGAAGACATGGGTCCACAGATCCAACTGACTGTCTCCGAATCTCTAGGCTGGTGACACGCAGT